CGTCAAACAGCGAGGCTGTGCCAGCGTCAAACAGCGAGGCTGTGCCAGCCTCACACAGCGAGGCTTTGCCAGCGTCAAACAGCGAGGCTGTGCCAGCGTCAAACAGCGAGGCTGTGCCAGCGTCAAACAGCGAGGCTGTGCCAGCCTCAAACAGCTAGGCTGTGCCAGCCTCACACAGCGAGGCTGTGCCAGCGTCAAACAGCGAGGCTGTGCCAGCGTCAAACAGCGAGGCTGTGCCAGCGTCAAACAGCGAGGCTGTGCCAGCGTCCAGGGCCGCCGGAAGTACTTTCTGGTGGGGGGGGGGCGAAATTTTTATGAAAAATTGTTGGGTTGCCTACCGTTAAGGGGCAACACCCAATACGGTTTAGACTTCTCTAATAGTGTTCCAAATCTAGCGAGCGAAGCGAGCTTAAAGCGAAAATTCACACATTTCTAGACTTTAACACAACTTTTGCCATTTTTAGAGCTTAATCACACGCTTTATTGGTGGGCGAAGCGAGCCAAACGGCAAAATAATGGAGGAAAATTAAGAAAACCTGCGAGCGAAGCGAGCAAGAAGCCAAAAATCAAAGAATTTGCGACTTCGCTATATTTTTTTCTCTATTTCGAGCTCAAAATGGCACTTTAGTGTCCCCCCCACCAGATTTTGGGGGGGGGGGGGCAAGTCCCCCCCCCCCCCCCCCCCCGCACCCCACTTCCGGCGCCCTTGAGATCTGTGAGGAGCCCGTTAGGTTAGGACTGGTTGGACCATTATGTTTGATTATAATATCTGTCGAGAGTAGGGTAACATCCGTCGCGAGTAGAGTAAGATCTATCCCGAGCCCGTTAGGTTTGGTTAGGATTGGTTGGACAGTTTAGATTTAGAATATTAAGTAGCCTTCCGTCGATGCAAGGAAAACCCAACCCAACCAACCCGACAACGGCATCTGCCCTATGACGTCTGCCATTTGGGGGAGTACATTATCCCTAGGGACCAAGTACTCCCCTGCTGGTGGGGGAGTACACCATCCCTAGGGCCAATGTACTCCCCTCTCAAGAGAGGGGGAGTACCTTCACTCTAGGGATAGTGTACTCCCGGGGGAGTACACTATCCCTAGGGTCAATGTACTCCCCCCCTCTCGAGGTAGGGGAGTACACTATCCCCAGGGATGGTGTACTCTCCCTAAGGGGGGAGTACATTGTCCCTAGGGATGGTGTACTGGGGAGTAACTCAATCCGGGGAGTAGGATATCCCGCTTACACCGGCACGCCGAGCCCGGCACGCCGAGCCGAGGCAAGGGGTTGCACAGATTGGCCTTGCACTACCCAATCCATTGCTCGAAACCGTGAAACGACACGCCTCGAAGTCCGGATGCGTTTCCCGGTCTGGCGCTTGTGCTGACATAACAGGACCCTCCTCTATAAGTTATCAACTGCCGAAAATGTCCAGTCGAATTATGCAAAGTGGGTTGTTTTAGTCGTATTGTCGGGGATTCAATTTCTTTTCAATCTAAAAAAAAAAAGTTGTTTTTTTTTCAAATAAAAAACCTGGATTGATAGTCCATTTATGGATGTGTTTTGCAATGTCAATTCTTCGACGTAGATTCAGAGCAGGACAACAAATACCGTATCGAGAACCTTCCCCGCCCCTTTCGCGCCGCGTCGACACAACATTTGGCTGGAGAAAAAAAAGGGGGGCAGGCTTTGCCGTTCTGCTTTGATGCCATGCTTTGATGGCCGCCGTTATAGCACGCTCTTGTTAGGCCCATCGCGTCTCGTCGCGAAGTCTGGGGCGACCTTCCTTTTGCTGCACGCGCCCCGCCCCGCCCCACCCCGCCCCGCCCCGCCCCGCCCCGCCCCGCGCGTACAAAGGTGACTTGGTTATCACGTCGCCGACATCAGGACGTGTAACGGTCGTCTAGATAACTGGATGGCACCGTTTGTTTTCTCCGCGCTCTTTCCCGCCTTTATTTGCTCGCTTTCTTTCTAGTTTTTGTTGTTGTCTCGCCTTCTTGGCCGCGGAAGCCAGACTGAACGCGCTTTACGGCGCTTCTTGTAGATTTCGCTAAACAACGTTTCTTTTCCCATCAACGTGGCCTCGTTCCCGCCGCATGTAAATTTCTCCGGAACGGGTGCGCTCCGCTCCGCCTGGAACTGACCGTGAACCGGAGCCCCGGAGCCCCGGAGCCACGCTGCCCGTTCCGGTTTGGCGCGGGGCGTGCCGGCGTGCCAGAGACAGTCGCCATCGCCGCGCCGTCCCGAAGCCCTGGCCGTCTGCAAGCGAATCTTAATCCGACCACTTGCCCGCACCCTCGTTGGCGGGTCGCCGCTGACCTGCCGAGTAAGCAGCTTGGCAGTGTGGCGTCATACACCCTCGCCGCCGGCCCTGCCCTCCAACAGCGTTTCCCTATCGCACGGAATCCGATTTCACTTGAGTGTTAACAAGCTTGTTTCATTGTGCTGAGTTTGTCGGGCTGCCGGCCTGGTGCGAGATGCGAGCTGATTCGATTCAGCGGCCGCTTTTCCTGTTGGTCAGGAACTAGAGGCTGGAGTGGAGCAGACACCAACTCTTTCCAAGTTTTTTCTTTTCTGTGCCGATTGCTTCAGTTTCGTGTAAGGTAAGAAGAACCCATAGAGCTTCGTGTGTGTGATGTCTAAGCTTGCTAGACACGCATTTGTTTCGTCTTCTGCAGCACACACTGCCTCTCCTGTTGCACACATGTCACGACTGTCGGGGTTCATCTGCTTTAATCTCGCAACTTGGATTTGACGCGACAATGTCGTCTAGCAGAAGCCAACGAAACAAGACGGAGCAGACAGTGCCCCTTGCATTTCCCAGTCATACCCTTCGACAGGGCCGGACTGGCTAAGTCAGGGCCCCGGTCGCAGTGTGACGTCAAGGGCCCCCTTTTCCGATATGCGTACATTGTTTTAAATTTACTAGCCAGGGGAGGGTAAGCCGTGTTTGGTGACTTTGGGCGGCCACTGTGTCCAATCTAGTTGACGTAAAAGGCCTCCCTCGACGCCCTAGAATTCTTATGACCCTACTCTTTCATGCCCTGTATCGGGAAGACGTTGACCACAACGATTTTGCCTTTGACCGCAACGATTTTGGGACCAAAGTTGGTCAAAAAGTGGTCGAGTCTCGGAAATTTGCTGATTTGCTGACTTTGGGCGGCCACTGTGTCCAATCTAGTTGACGTAAAAGGCCTCCCTCGACGTTCTAGTATTCTTAAGACCCCACTCTTTCATGCCCTGTATCGTGAAGACGTTGACCACAACAATTTTGCCTTTGACCGCAACGATTTTGGGACCAAAGTTGGTCAAAAAGTGGTCGAGTCTCGGAAATTTGCTGATTTTGCTGACTTTGGGCGGCCACTGTGTCCAATCTAGTTGACGTAAAAGGCCTCCCTCGACGTTCTAGTATTCTTAAGACCCCACTCTTTCATGCCCTGTATCGGGAAGACGTTGACCACAACGATTTTGCCTTTGACCGCAACGATTTTGGGACCAAAGTTGGTCAAAAAGTGGTCGAGTCTCGGAAATTTGCTGATTTGCTGACTTTGGGCGGCCACTGTGTCCAATCTAGTTGACGTAAAAGGCCTCCCTCGACGTTCTAGTATTCTTAAGACCCCACTCTTTCATGCCCTGTATCGTGAAGACGTTGACCACAACAATTTTGCCTTTGACCGCAACGATTTTGGGACCAAAGTTGGTCAAAAAGTGGTCGAGTCTCGGAAATTTGCTGATTTTGCTGACTTTGGGCGGCCACTGTGTCCAATCTAGTTGACGTAAAAGGCCTCCCTCGACGTTCTAGTATTCTTAAGACCCCACTCTTTCATGCCCTGTATCGGGAAGACGTTGACCACAACGATTTTGCCTTTGACCGCAACGATTTTGGGACCAAAGTTGGCCAAAAAATGCGCTTGATTTGCCGAAATCATGCGTAAAATCGGCAGAAATTTCGTGGAATACCAACAAAATCTCGCGGAATCCGGCATAATTTTGACGCAAAATTCTGCGAAATCTTGAGAAATTTTCAAATGGGTACCCCTTTGATTTAAGTACGTAAATAGTTAAAGACCGCGACTTTGCCGCGGCCAAGAAGGCCCCGCGGTGGAAAGGCCCCGTGGCCCGCGGCCGAAAGGCCCCGCGCTTCGCGCGAGGCCCCGGGCGCGATCGCGCCCCCGCGGCCCGGGCCAGTCCGGGCCTGCCCTTCGACAAAGCGCTGCCTTGAGAGGCCACTCCAGTCCGCGGCGATTCGCAAACAATTCCCCACACACGTGCGCACACCATAACAGTCTAATCGGATGAGCGCTAAGCCCTGCTTTTGTACGCCGCCGCCCTTTCAACACCGGAACAGCAGGGGAAGAAATTGCGCCTAATATCCTCGTTGAAGGGGAGGGCTTTGCACCGCCTTGCACGAAATGTCAAAGGCCACATCGACACGCAGGACAGTCACGGCAGTCTCGCCCGAGTGGCGGCTTCTTCCTCCCAGACAGTGTAGGTACTCGTTCAAAGTGGCGGCCGGCCGCGCACCCGCCAGTCTCGTCGTGACGAAACCCGACACTCAATTGAACCACTTTGCGGCCCTTCACGCGAGCAGCCTTTCATTCCCTGCGATGTTGACCCCCCCGGCGAGCACAACAACCACACCGCTGCGAAAAGGAACTCGCAGTGAACCTCACATATGCGCCATTGGGGCCGCCATTCGGAGCGCCGCGCCCTCGCTCCACGTCTTCCTGTCTCTCTCTTTCGCTGCCTGAATGCGTTTTCATTTCGCCTCACAACTTTATCCCACACCTCGGCCTCGCTCCTTTGTTCGCGTAACCGGAAACGGTGCAGCCGACGCTGCCTACGCTGCAGAGAGAGAGAGAGAGAGAGAGAGAGAGAGAGCCGCTTCGATTTTGAGCGCAGTGCGCCGAGGCACGCGAGACCGCGCCGGGCCGGGGATAAGGGGATAGGGGCGTTTGCTCTTTCAATAAACCGAACGGCAACTCGCCGCTTCGCGTTGCACTCACCTCCTCGGACCTCGCACTTGAGCACCAGGTTGTCCCCCTCCAGCAGCGGCCCGATGCTGGCGTTCACCTTCTTGCCAGAGACGTCGTACACGGCCATGGAGTGCGGGGGCACTGCAACAGAGAGAAGGAAGCGTCAAGGCAAGACCACCGCACCGCAAGATGACGCCGCCAGGAGCCTCTCAGATATGAGGCGGCCGCCCGTTACAACAACAAACAACAACAACAAAGGCCCTCGTAAAGCGACCCCAGCCACCCTGACGTAATTAAGGTAGTTCGCGCGGGGCATACCAGTCAAGCGAGAGTTGAAATTTTAAAATTTGGTTTCCAGACCTTAAAAAAATTACAAACAGGTCCCATTCTATTTTTAACTTAGAATTAAATTCGTTTGGCCCATCTAGGCAGCGGCAAAGCGAAGAAATGAATTTTAACTCTTAATTTAGTTGTGCACTTGACTCCAGTGTCGGCTGCTAAAACCGCAATTTTATGTCTTTTCTCACAAATAAGTCCGGTGACGCTCTATTTTCTCTCTTTCATTTCGTAAAGTGACTGAAAATACTATTGAAGGTATGCTTTTTATCGGTTTGACTTTACTCCAAGCATTTTAAAAATGAAATATACCGGGTTCGGATGGGCAACATAACCCTACTCCCATAAGCGGCAATGCTATTCTCGGCTACTTTTAATCGCGTATTAACACTGATTTTGCCCGGTGACCGGGTTTGAAACTTTGCAGGCGATTAAGTCACTATCTTAGGAGCCTACTCTCAAATTTTCAACTCTTTGTGTTTACAATAGCGTGGTCGCTCGAACTACCTTAAGTAGACTTTCTTTATTTTTTATTTAACCGCCCCCCCGGACGCGCGCCACCCGACACCGTCGCGACACCGTCGCGACACCGCCTCCGCGCGGTGACGTCACCTCCGTCAAATCGCGGCGCTGTGCTCGCGAAGTCCGTGGCGGCGCTCCTCATTCTGACTCCTCGTCAAGTCCGGCGGCACGCTCGCACAGTCCGTCAAACGCCTCGCAGCACGACAAAGAAGCAACGTCTGAATAAACACACACTACAGGCTGTACGGGACTGCGGCACACTCATAGTTCGCATCGGAAGAAGACTTCCCTCCCTTTCTCATGAATAAAACAGAGCTTTATGCACATATATAATCGTTCGGAAACTCGGTCGCTCCACTTTCTTCCAGGACAGGGGCCTGCATGCATATCTGCCGGGGATAGCGGGATTTCGGAGCATTTTCGCGCCTTTGCGGCCGGGCCGGCGCGGGCAGGGCCTCGCCTCGGCACCGGGACAAACAAACACTTTCATCGGGGGCTCCGAGATGCGGCCTCTCGCGGGACTACCATTTCCAAAGTGGCAACATGCATTCGCCCTCAAAGGCAAGCTTGTCTGTCTACTGGAATTTTGAGGACAAAACGAAGAAATTTCTGCTATGGCCGGTAAATCTCTAGAGATTTTAATGTCATTAACAGCACTGGATTCATTTGTGATAGAATATTAAAAGATAAAAACTTGTCGAGTACGTAAAATATTTGGAACACTCTCGTGAAGCGAAAAACCCGCGGGTAAAAGTAGACTGCTCCCTCTCTATATCTGGAATGTTTCGAACTCGTCAAAGAGCCACAATCGGTCCGACCTGCCAGGCAGGCAGGCAGGCAGGCAGCGTGGCGGTGGCGATTCACCCTCCACTCCACTGCGAGGTGACTTGATGCCGAGATGGATTTCGCAGCCAGTTTGCCCCTCATTACCAGCAGCGAGGCCCCCCCCCCCTTCCCTCTCTCGGAACCAGCCTGCCGGCCATTGTTCGCTGGTTGTTGTCTTTGGGCTTTTGGCCCGCCGCCGCCCACGGTGGACAATCACTTTTGAGCAACTTGGCGCGCCGGGCGCCCAGGTCCGGGAGGGAGGGATCCCCATTTTCAGCGAGAAAGACAAGGAGGACAAGAAAGAGGGCGTGAGGGATATATGACTGGAAAAAGTTTTGGCCTGTCCGCCACGACACTGCTGGGCCACGCAAATTGCTTCTTATCCCCGGCGAACAAAGGGCCCCCACTGTACAATGATGCCGCGGACATTGTGCCAAACAATGCACCGATACAGTGTACACGGCCAGGCACTGCCGCGCCTCCGGCCATGCCTGACCCGTCTCCGCGGCCTAACAGTGGCGGAGGAGCCCCCGCGCAGTTGGGACCCTCTTCACTCTTCCCCGCCCTGGCCGTGCCGCGCCGCACCGTGCCGTGCCGAGCCCTGCCGTGCCGCGCCGCGTTGTCAACGTGAATCCTCGAAGAAAGATTAATCGTCTAATTACACCAGCGAGGCAAGTCCTGCTACCTCGTCGCTCCGTCTCCCTCGCACGCCCCAGGCCCGCGGGACGCGCCACGAGTGCGAGAGAGACGGAGAGACTCTGCTCGGGAGCAGCCCGCGCCGGCGGGAGTCATAACTTGAATACAGGTGCACTGGGTAATTGAGTTGGCCGGGATGGGCCCACCAGCACGCGTCGTACCTGTTGACGTTTTCTAGTGGCGGACAAATGAAGGAGCCTGCCTCGAAAGGCTTGCTGAAGGCCGAGCCAGCGCAAAGCGGCGCAAAGCCCCCCCCCCCCCCCCCCCCGACGCGACACGGGCTGGCGTCCCCCTTCCCCAACTTCTCGGAAGGACTCAAATTTAGCGGCCGTGGACACGGCAATCCTGTAATTACGAAAGCCATGATCAGGTGGCTGCCGGAACACGGCTGTTTTGTCCTCCTCCTGGAACGGAGCACTTCGGTGAACGGTTTTGTTCGGCGTACAATGGACCCACAGACCCTGAAAAGTGAGTTATCGACCAGGCACATTTCCAACCGTAGTGGATCTATGATCGTCTTGCTACTGAGAGAGTTGCTTCTACAAAAATACCCGCCTGGTCCTGAACCTCACTCCGAACGGACATTGCTGGACTTCTCCAACCACAGCCTTCGGCTTTGCCGCGACAGGCCGCGACAGGCCTTGAGACGTCCGGGCCGCCCTGGCGGAGGCCGCCGAGGCCTCCAAGGCCGAGACAGAAATTACAGAAGCCCCCGGACTGACTTGGACCGACGTGTGTCTGTCGTATATCTTTGTGGCGACGTCCCCTGTCGCTGGGGCTTATCCCTCCCGGACGCCGAGAGGACCTAATCGGAGACATGCCGTGGCTGCGGCTGTACAGCGGAGTGTGGCCGCAGAGTCGAAGAGGTCACCAATGTCAAAAGACCGGGATTTGGTCCAACTCTGGAGAAAAAAAAAATCAGCCATCGTTGACAAATGTCTACATACCTTGAAAACGCATTTAAGCGAGCGACAGCCCACCAACAATATCGCCGAGTCAACGTGAGATCCGCCGGGTCCTCCTCACCACCACCTTAAAAGGGCACCCGCTTTCTTCCTTCCCTCCTGCATAAGAGATTTGCCGCCAAATCCCTGCGGCCGGAAAGACAACGCTCCCCCCCTCCCCTCCGCGGAAAATAATTCGAATCGCCACACGCGTGTTTCTCCAAACAGCCGCAAAGTGGAAGAAGCTGCATTTTATCCCTCTGCCTCCCCTCTTCCGCCGTGGGAAGAAAATGTGGCAAGAAGGGTTGGCTGAGATAGGGCGCAGGATGAAGAAAAAAAGAGCTGCTTTTGCTTTAGAGGGATTACCACGCTTTCGCTGCACGGCTGGCTGTCACTTGCCGCGACCTTCCCCCTCCCCCTCCCCCTTCCACGCCACACACTCGCACAAGGATTTATGAAGGCGCGCAGGTGCCTTCCATGCCCTCATCGACAGCTGCTATGGCGGAGGCCAAAAAGGTGTGCGCCTGTGTGCGCGTGTATGTGGCGTGTGTGTCCGTGCGGGCGTGCGTGCGTGTGTGTGCGAGTGCCAGCACAGTCAGGTGACGGAGGTAGGCCCGGAAGCCTGGGGGGGCTGGGCCGGGCTGGGCCGGGCCAGGCAGGATGACGGGGTGTATAAGATCGAACCTCATACCACGCGCTTTACACGGACGTCCCAGCGTTCCCTTCAGCAGCATCTATCGCACGTACACACGCACTCTCTCACACGCACATGGAGCATCAGCCAGCACGCAGAGGCCAGGTTTATAAGGGTCAAGTCCATTCCACCCGTTTTTCAATTTTTTTAAAAAAACATTTGATGTATGCAACCTCGTGCTATTTAGGCCTCGGGGCGGGACGGGGCACACAGCCCACAGTGGAGCCACGTCAGACAAGAGGACTCACCGCAAACACTTTGGAAGTCGCGGGGCTTTCCTTTCCATCGGTGCCGAGCCGTGCCGTGCCGTGCCACGCCGAATTGAGCCGCGCCGAGCCGCGCCGAGCTCACAGCTGTGATTGCGGGGAAAGTCTAATGCTTGTTACCTACGCCGCGGAAAGCGCCACAAAATACATTTATGAATTCAATCTGACGGGATTTAAAGTTCGGGGCGACCGCGGCGGTTGGCGGCACTGGAGGACAAGGCAAGGCCGCGGGGCGCGCCGCGAACGTGCTCCAATTCCTTTTTCGCCCAGAAAGTGGCAGCAGTGGCGTGGCCGGGAACTTGTTCAACACTCGTATTTTTGTCCTGTTTCGTTTGTCCGTTTGGCAATAACCGTTTTATCTGTTTGTTTTTTTCCAAGGCCTGCCTAAATAATAGGGCCTGCGTCCGGTCAAGAGGGGGTCGCGGCGAAGCAATAACCGACCCGGCAGTGGAACGACATGGCCGGGCGCTGCACCGCAATGCACTGCCATGCACTGCAATGCAGTAATGAGGAAAACGAGTGCCTGTTTTTTCGCAGCTACACTGCAGGGAGTACAGGGGCGGCTCAAGGCCAGTGGGGCGGGCGGGCACGCCCCTTCGGGGGGCTGCGGCTTGTTTCGCCAGACTCCGAAGTATCGCTCTGTCTCTCTCGCACCCCCGCGGGACGCCCCAGAGAAACGGAGCGACCAAACGGTCCTCCGGAGTCCTGCAATAACCCACTTAATTAGATTCCCCGCGTGTATCGGCTATATCGGCCGAACGCTTCACTCGCCACACGTTAATTCGGCGGTGCGGCTGGCCGAGGCTTATCACTAGATAAACGAAACTTGACCCGCCCATCACTAATTTCAGTCCTTGCGGCATCACGAGCTAAACGCCAAAGCCCATCCCACGCCGGGCGCAGGTACACTTGCTAAAAAAAAGCACACCACACGATCCATAAAAAAGCAACATTGAATTGTCACTGTCACAAAGCCCTAAAAAATAAATCGCTCGGACAAAATTCAGTTTCAGGGGTGCGCGAGTGCCTTCCAGACCCAAATAAATCATTTGGCTTCCCGCACGCAATCTACCCCTCACACGAACGAACAAAAAATAAAATTGCACACACACACTCACACAAACACAAAGACACACACACACACTCACACCAGGCGAAATCAATCCCCGGCACCTTTCATTCGCTCAATCTCGCAGTGGACGCGGGGCGGGGTTGGCGGGGTTGGCGGGGTCGACGCGGCGGTCACTTTATCAAGGCGTCGGCGTCCTTCCCCGCGTTTTGTGACGACCATAAAGTCACGCGGAGAGAGAGAGAGAGAGAGAGAGAGAGAGAGGGAGAGAGAGGGAGAGAGAGAGAGAGAGAGAGAGAGAGAGAGAGAGAGAGAGAGAGAGAGAGGGAGGGAGAGAGAGAGATTGGGAAGCGACACGGTGCGTACAGGTGTGCCTGAGGCGTGCGGCGTGCATTAGCTTTACGGTCGCCCGGATATCCAGTGGCGTGGCGTTGCGGGACGGGACGGGACGGGACGGGACGGGACGGGACGGGACGGGACGCCCTTCGCTTTACGCGCCCAGCCTGGCATAGCCACGCCCTGCCGCGCCCCGCCGCACGCGTCGCGCTTCCGTTTTACGGGATTCTCCCTTCCGAATCTTGTCTTCATTCTCCGCTTTGCGCGCCTCGGCGCGTGACGTCACCCCCCCCCCCCTCCGTTTTCACTCTCGCCGCGGTGGCGCCTTACGCGCAGCACATGCATTTAGAGCGGCCGCATTACAATTACGTGATCTACACTCCCCGTGCGCGGCACCGCCAAGACAGGCGGGCAGACACGCCCGAAAAAGTGCGACCCCGTCCCGAGAGAATACCCGCGACGGCGGGGGTTTTCTCAGCGAGAGGATTCTATTTCTACAATGACAATACGCGTGTTGCTCCAGACCAACGTTCGGCCCAGGAAACACGTTTTTTGTGGTCCCGCGAAGCAGACAATGCTCCGACGAATCTGCGCCGAGAGTAGTTGGACCAACAAGACCACCACGGCTCCTCGATACCCCAAATAAATATGCACCTCCACAAGAGGGTCTCAACTTTGAGCTCAACTTTTCTCTCCACAGATTTCTATAAAGGCACCTATATCTACCTCCGATGCCCATGGTTTAGAGCGATAAAAGGATGAATTTCCGTTTTTTTTTTAAGTGTTCTCTTTTAAACTCCCTTTAAAGAGGATTTTCAAGTATTTTTTTCGTCGGCGTACATCCACTTTGGGTCACGTCCTTTTCAAGAGTGGACGAGCGTTTAGCCGGCGCCGTGGAACGGAGCCAAAATTTGTACACTTTTGCAGCGTCCTTCTGGCCCTCGTTGCCCCGCCCCGCCCCGCCCCGCCCCGTCCCGCCACGACGTGGGAGGCAAATACGCGCCGCTCTTTCCGATATTTTGCGGGCCGCGGAGGTAATGCTAGGCCTCGTGTCCAAAAGAGGATTGGGGCGAAGGGGCCGGCCAAGGTCGCGGGGCTGCTTGCAGGCTCTAACGGCATCAGCAGACACGTGAACAGTTTCTCTCGCAGTTTTTTAACCTTGTTCGTAGTCGGCTGAGACTTCTTCGGCTTCAGCAGAGGTCGAGGGCGCGCCTTACCTATGACGGTGAGGTTGACCCTGCTGTTCCTGGTGGCCGAGTTGGAGAAGTCGGCGCGGCAGCGGTACACCCCCGCGTCGTCCAGCACCACGCCGTCCACGGTGAGGGCGGCGGGCCTGGAGGACGCCGAGAAGTGCGCCCTGGGGCCCAGCGCCTTGGCGTCCGACCACGTGAGCGCCTCGTCGAAGGTGCGGCCCCGCACGTCGAACCTGCAGAACGGGAGGAAGGATTATTGCAAAACTACACTGCGAATTTGACGCAAGCTGCTGGGAAAATAAATCACTGCGAGAGACACGCATTTTCGGCTAGGTTCCGGCGGGGTCCGGCTGCTGGTGAACACTTGGAGCCAAGCTCGGCGCTTTTCGTGACGCGTCAGCGGGTTTTTTCTCTCTCTCGGTCTCCATCTGGCTCGCTCCTACGCCCCCTGCTAAACAAGATGACACTGCCTGGCGGCCTGGCGGCGCCGTGGCGGTGTCTTACAGGCAGCCTTCTCGTCCCAGCTTGCCCGTCCACCTGTCCGCCCTGTCCGTCCTCCTTGGCGTCACCGTCGCAGAGACCCGTCCTGGCAGCTCGCCCCGGTCCTACCCAGAGGCCCTACCCAGCCCCAGCAGGCCACTCCGGGCTGCGATCGCTCCTACAGTGCAGCCAGACTAATTTGATGAAGCTCCTGCTCGACTGTGGTGCATCAGGCACCCGGAAAAGCAGTACAGTCGCGATGCGTCGCTCTCCAGGCGGGACTCCGTTCCCGAGGTTAAACGAACCCCTCGAACCGTCGGGATGGTTAAAACGACCGTAGATTGATCAGCGTGGACGGAGCGCTGGTTTGTGCAGCAGCCACTGTGCAGCAACTGCAAAAAGTTCCATTCCATTACAAGCCAGTTGCTCAAATTTTACATCAACCCAGACATAATTTTTTTGGCCGGTTGTGGGACTGAGACCTGCATTTTGGCGCAAAAAGGGAATGAGGCGGACTCGTACGGCAAATCGTACGGCACTTGGGGACTCGATTAAGATTCTCCCTCCAGTGGTGGGCCGCGGCCACCGGCGGCCACGGTAACCGTTATCATAAACCTTTATCGCCTCGAGTGACTGGTGCGAGAGGGAAGGCGCTGCCGACGGAGAAAGAGAAAGAGAGAGGGAGAAGCCCGATTCCCCCGGCGAAGAGCACCGCGAACCCGCTGCGGCGCCGTGCTGCGTGCTTGTGACAGGTTATAGGCATTTATTGCTGCAAATTTATTCACGGGAAAGAATGAAAAATTTTGCTGGGTAAAGGAAACGACTTTAAGAAAGGGAGATGTTCCAACAGGGCGGTGTGGCAGCGGCAGTCATCCGCCTGACGGATCAATCTACCAAGTTTGGGACACGGCAGGGCGTGGCGCGGCGTGGCGCGGCGTGGCGTGGCGCGGCGTGGCGCGGCGTGGCGTGGCGTGGCGTGGCGTGGCGTGGCGCGGCGTGGCGCGGCGTGGCGTGGCGTGGACTTGGGGCTGAGCGAGCCCCGGCCTCGGCCCCGGCCGTCTCGCACCCTGAGACTTTAAAGCTGGGGACACTCGGCGCCCCGCACGGCCACGGCGAGGCGAGCCGAGGCCAAGGCCGGAATGGAGGTGGCTCAGTGCGACGGATTAACAAGGAAAGAGAACAAACTTGACCGGCGACTTCCTCGGAGTTGGATCGCGGCGCCGCCATCTTTCCTTCAGCCCCGTACAGAAAAAAAAGAAGGGGGAGGAACACCGAGATGTGTGGTACACTGTGAAACGGTCACTGATCGGAAGAAAAAGCAATGTTTCGAGTCGAAATATAGGGCATTTGTAAATGCGTGAAACAAAGAGGATATTTTGCCGAAAACGGAGGCACGATTTCGAGATTCGACTTCGGCTTCGTGGCGAAGGGAGGCCGGCGAATAGGCCGAAGCGCGGAGCCGAAAACCGGGAGGGGAACCGGTTAGGCTTCCGGGGATCAAAAAGGATAGCAGGAAATAGAGAAACAGGGAGGGGGCATGAATAGAGGTAGGGACATCAACATTCAAACGACTAATCTCTCAATTTGAAACGGGAGGGCCGTGAGCGAGGGTCTAGGGGCTTAGGTGTGCGGCGGGAGTTGAGGTTGAAGGTTAGGTGGGAGGGGGAGGGGGGATCCAAGGGGTTCCGCAACAAGGCAGGGTGGGGCGGGGCCGCCAGCCCCAAGTAGTCATCATGTAAACATTTTCGGTCAAAAGCGAGGAAAACAGATGACACAGCTACGCGGCTTCCGAACGGTGCTTGTCGCCCGCGGATATGCCCCATGAGTGCGAAAGAGACAGAGCGACGAGAGCACTGTGAGAGAGTAAACAGGAATGCCGCCAAGTCAATAACTCCTCTCTGATTTACAGTGTGGCGATTTGATGAACGCTGCACCGTGGCCGTCGTCCTGGACGTCCTGGCCATGAATAAAGCGCGCCAATAGCAAACAAAACAAACAAAACAGGGAAACGGCGACGCATTCTTCGCTGCCTTGCATGCTTTGCATGTACACTGTGCGCCGCGGAAAATGGAGCGCCGCCTTTCCAAAAAAGGACCGCAAAAAGGGAGCTAACGTCATCAGCCGGCCGATGCGGCCGTCTCTGTCGCACCCACGGGCCGCGACGGGCGGGTGCGACAGAGACAATCGCGCGCGGCGCCTTGCGCAGCCTCGCGCAGCCTTGCGGGCACGAAGCGGACGAAGCGACACGAAGCGACACGAAGCGAGCACGCCGACGGAATGAGCGATCAGCAGCGGGACGGGCAAGGCAATGTCCATTCAATGACGTCATCCAATGACGTCATGCACCTTATTACGCGAGGCGGGCCGATAAAGTAAGTTCGGGAGGCGGGGCGGGCTCATCCAATGAGCGGACGTGTCGGGGCGGCATTGAAAACAACGAGAGAAAAATAATAGAAAGAAGGAGGGAAGCGAGGCTAACGCACTAGCAAACCAAATTGGCTAAGTACGTGACACACATTTTTAAGCGCGGCAGCATCGCGAGGCAGGAAATGAATGTAATGAAAGGAAAGTGGACGGGCGGCAAGAAGATTCGTCGCCGCCGTGGGCCGATGGTACCGAGGTACAGCCATCGCGCGATGGTTGAACACCCGGTAGGCCGCACGTCGGGTACATTCATCGCGCGATAGCTGTACCCTCTTCCAATCGGATTAGACACAGTGGCTGCCTGAACTCAGCCCAAAGAACGATTTCTGCTTCTTTGTCGCCGTTTTGGCCAACTTTTTGGCCTGCAGCAAGCTCCAGGCGGGCTAAGCGTCCGTTCGCGAGCAGCGGGCCATGTCGCGGAGCCCCGCGGTGCAATCTATCCTCCGCCTTCTCTTAATTATAGAGCAGGAAAGGGCGCCGAAAGGGAGCAAGAAGAATGGCAGGGCGCCGCTTTTGCCTGTTTTGCCTGCTTTGGCCGCCTTTGGCCGCTGCTGCACTGTGCAGTGCCGGCAGTGCACTGCGAGTGAGTGGCGACTTCAAAGGCGCCATCAGCTCGGCAGAGCAGCGCGCCAACGACTCTCGTTTAGACGAGTGGCCGCCCGGCCGGGCCCGGCTCGTCTAGCGCTGCATTTGACACAGCGATGGCCGCCGCACCTCGCACTACGCCTTTGTTTTGCCGGGGAATGTTCCCTCGCTCCTCAACTCCCCGAAGAGCGATGCTATTTTCCGGATCAGCGGCGTTTTGCTCCGTATACAACGCCGTCAGCACGCCCTGCCCCGCCCTGCCCCGCCCCGAGGAAGGGCTCTGGAAGCAGCCGAGCCCGGCCGAGGCAGCCAAGGCGTGCCAAGGCGCCGAGCCTGCACTGCAAACAAGCCGCTCGCCCGGAAACGCCCACGCATGCTGGCTTCAGTTAGCAGCTGCCGCGTCACCTTGCGTGGGACGGAACGATCCATAACCAGCGCTCGAGGCCGGTCCGGGCGGGAGCAACTAGACTCGTTTGGAGCTCTGTAAGGGACCGGAAATAGAACTCTAACCCAACACGTGCCAACTCGGTGGCCCGCCACTGGGTGACATCATGGGTTCGATTCGACCTCTCGAAATTCGTCTCGAGTTATTCTTAAAACGGTCTCCTGCTCCACTACACGGCATGACCAAGAAATATGCGAAATTCAGCTCCGCTTTCGGTGAAGTCCATTCACAGAAAACGTTGATGAAAGGTATATTTTGGTCCCTTAGGGCCTTGATCGTCACCGCCGAGGCGAGAAATGGCAATCGCAGGCAACGGCGGTGTAAGCCGGGAGATACAAGATGTGGGAAGCTGAGGGATTTTCTCGCAGCCGGAGCGATTTGCCTTATTCGAGTCGAATATTGAAGTGAACCAAGGACAAGTGCAGCCACGTACACAAACAAGAACACACGCACACACACACAAACGGAAGCGTTACGCAGGCAGGTACCCAGGCCAGGTGCGCGCCAACAGGCACACCACTGTAACCCCATAAACGCACACACATGCAGGTAGGACCTGCGTTCAATCTGGCTCACGCACATACACACTGTAAAAAATACTCCCGCCGCAAACTACCCCCGAATCCGTCCCCGTGAGCACACACAATGGTGTAGTAGTGCGTGCGCGTTCGCGGTGTGTCTCCCCGAATATACATTCTCGCGCGGGCAAATCGTTTCTCACATCGACACGTTCTTACTACACACCGCGGCGGGGCTGCGCGCGTGCCTTGCTGGAATTTTTTTTGTCCTCCCTTTTTTCCGGGGGAGGGGGAGGGGTGTCTGTGCGGCGACAAGGCAGCGAACAAGGAATAGAAAAGCCTGCAGGCGCCTTGCTATTGTTTCCACCAAGTTTTCTCGTGTGCGCCGTGGCTGTGTCGACAGTGTGCCGACCAGGTACGCTGACGATGACGGTGGCACTGCACCAACGCCAGGTGGCACACACACACACACACACACACACACACAGCACGCACACACACACACACGCACGCATACGCACGCACACACACACACACTCACAGCACGCACGCACGCACGCACACAGAGACCACGGCGCACAATATGCGTATTGTGCAAGAAAATATGTGACCTTAACACACGAAAGGCGCGTAGGGCCATTTCCCCCATTTTCCCCGCCCGCTGCGGCCCGGCCTATATATATGTTTAGCGCTCGGACTTGGAGTCGGACAGAAAGGTTTCGTTCTATTTCGGGGCGGGCGGCCCGAGGCTACGACCGCCATTATGCTAAACGCGTGTGTG